ATTTTATTTGCTGCAGAGCCTACTGCACAGCCTGCGTCTGAAGCAGACATGAAACGTGCAGACTTCAGACGGGATATCATTTCTTCCACATCTTGCCATTCTTCTCCACTGATCTACTAGTGAATGGGTTACATATTTTTCTGCTCCTTAAGACAATGTATTTTATGCCAGTTTGATCGAGATGCACGTGTTCAAAACATTTTTTATTTCAGTGCTCCCTACCTTTTTTTTTTTTTTTTGCATAGAATAAATATAGATTTATTTTCGGAAAGTCCCTTTAATTTGGGTAGATGAAGACACTGAGCAAATTAGATGCCTTACCTATTTTTACGATGCAAAAAGCACCAAAATTTTGGTGCACCACTTCATTTACTGCACAAGATAAATGAAGGGATTAAGACTTTTGAAGGGGAGCTACAACCACTTCCTGATCATGGGGAGAGCCGGGTATGTTCCAGGATTTGTGAACATCTCACAAGTTACAATGCTACTCTTTCTCATAAAACACACGTGGCTTTGAATGAAATCGTACCCCCAATTAAACTTCATTACCCATTTACCACAGGCCTCAACAGAGGCAAGGTTAAACCTCCAAGAGCAAAGCTTGAATGCACCTGAAAAATTTAACACTTTCATGATACATAAATATCCCCTATACCCTGCATAGCAACAGCACCGTCGTCTTTTTTTTCCTCCTTTCTCACTTTCTTTTTGCTGCCACTTTCTTCTCCATCTTTCTTACCACTTTATTTTTCCTTTGGTACTTAACTCAGTAACGTATTCCACCTCAGTAACCAGTGCAGTGGTAGTAGCATAATACATAATTACTCCTTGCTTGTTTATTTTTTTTCCTAACACAGACAAGATTGTTTTATTTATCTCACACATTTATTTGACTACTGCTATTGCATCTCTCTTAAGTTACCATTTCTAAGTTACAAAGGAAATGACCTACCAAGCCTGGCAGATGACCCTGTTCCCAGAGAAGTTCTGATAACTGATAATGTCGGATAATAGGAGAGATAACGTGGGCTGATGCTGTCTGTTGAGAGCAAGTCACAAACGTGAATCCAGATTCTCTGATTTAATTCAAAGCCCTACACTGATGCCAGAAGTGAGTTTTAAGGAAGATTAAAATACGTAGAGGTACCCATGAACAGTAAGACTACCAGTCCCTTGGAAAAGCTTTAGCTCTGCCATATTTTCCCGTATATGTGCTCAAAGCTATTTAAGTGCATGTACGTGAGCTGCTCGCACCGTGTGTGAAAACCGCGTGTGTGACTGACTGAGAACCTGAGAAGTCACCTCAGGTCCTGGCATCACAAGAATAAAAACTGCATCTGGAGAACGAAGGGAAAAGCAGCCTGGCTGAAGATGAATGCGTGTTACTGTACTGTTTGTACCGCACCTAAAGGAAGATGAAAGTGCTGAGTCTCTTCCACTGAACTGTGGTCTCCTAATGTAAGGAATCTGCAAAGCTGAATTCCCTCCTGGACTGTCACACACTCACGCCATCTCGGTCCATGTGCACTGCCTACAATATATGCAGAACTTAGTACAGCTTTTCCTTGGCAATTCCTTCGTAAGAAAATGCATGAAGACAGAAAAGACAGTTACACAACGTGACTACCAAGTGGAAGACGGCAGTCAGGTGGAGGCTTTCTTCAATAATCTGAGTCAGAATCTTGGGAAGTTACAATTGCAGGAAATCTATATACAGCATCCAAACGTCCTGCAATGAGTTGCAGAAATCTTATGAATACTTTTCTCCATAAGGCTCTCTGGGCATTTAATACTTTAGCTCCTCTCTGAATTCTTGGAATTTTCAAAAACAAGTTGACAGCACATTAAAAATAAACACTGCTTTATTTGCCAGATTTAAATCTTATTAAACATACATACATAAGTTAGCTGAATGCAATGTTTAAAAAATTTATTCCACCATTACTGTATCATATATATCAGCAACATACTTGGCAGACAAAAATACCACTCAGATTACATGACAGTACAAGTCAAAACAAGCAGTACACCTAGAACAGTAGGAGAGTCCATCTATTTTCACTCTGTTCTGATGTCTCAAACTGATAGTATTACATAAAAAAGTAAACGCATAATAACAAAATCTTCTAGAAAAAACAGCATAGTGTCTTATAGTAGCACTCTTATTTTGCAGTCATTTGCTTAGAACATACCACACACTAAATCTTCCCAAGGTAAAAATACGCAATTTTAATTTAATATGAAAAAAATATAATAAAATCCCTGATTGTATTACACTTGAAAGGCCAATTTTCTTTTTCTAACTAATTCTAATGAAGCAATCTGCTGTTGTTTAAATTACAGTAGTTCCAACACAGAACTATCTTCTCTTTGGTTAAAGGACACTTTTAGATATTTATATTAAACACATCAAAATCAAATATTCCAACAGTAAGAACAAGCACATCCCCAAACTCACCAGTCCAATTTTCTCATTTTTTTTTTTATCACTTTTCAAGAAGACTTCAGGAAATGTATATGTGTGTGAACCATTACAATCCTAATCATACTAATAATCTTTTGTCAGAATACTGCTTAATGGCAAGTAAAGGCAAACTATCATGTAAAGAGGTGTTAGACCTATTTTGTTATGTGACATTAGCTCTTAATATGACAACACATTCTCTTTTCAACAGTTTCTATATACGAAGAAGTAATGCTATGAAGTGTAATGATATATTTTTAAGAGATATATACTTCTTTTTAAATAAGCTGATCCCAGATTTTTTCCACTTTCTATTGTATGATACAAAATATACAAAACATCTGTTTGTATAGCATTAAATAGGAAGTGATCTCAAAAAAAAACTTTGAAAGAAGCAAGAAGTAGGGGTCAAAACATCAATTCAAATTCAGGGTCTGCATGCAGGGCTTCTGCATATCAATGCTGTATCCCAAACTAAGTCATTTCCTTGTTTCCCTCCATCTTGCTTTCAAATACCATTATTTGCTATCACAGTACATTTATTTTGGTGACATCTTTTCAAGTGTAGTATATTAGGACACTTTACTATGGGACCTGAAGGAACTAATGTTCCGTTAGCAGGAGTAGTGCATCTAATGCTGAATTTTCAGATCTGTTTTCAGCTTCCATCAGATTGTACATTTTGCATAGGAACGTCATTTTGCATCTCATCACCTTACTGTTGGAAGCAATTGTTTGCATTGCTAACAGTAACAAAACTGTGAAATCTAAATTAAGCAGTTTAGTTAACAGTGTATGTGTAAGAAGCAGCAAAGTGCTTGCATTGTGTAAATTGTGGTATACAGTTGCATATAGATTCATGGTGACTGATACTCTTCTTTGGCTCATACATTAAGCAGCAGAGCTAATTTATTTATGGATGCATTCCTCCAATAAATCCATTACTTCCAATATATCTGAATATTCAAGAACAGGGTCAGCTCATCACGAACATGAATTGCCAACATGCTTGATTTATCAAGCAAACTTAGAGAACAAAGCTAAATAACTTAAGTAAAGAGAAATGTACATCTGCTTGAACTCCTCGACCGGCAGCCAAACCATGTGATGTTCGTTCGAGGTAGGCACTTCAATGTTAAAATGTTTGCTATTAATGACTGTTCCACCCAAAACATTGATTTAAAACTGTTACAACATTAAAGTTATTAACCAAGGATTCCAAGGCGTAGACTAGGTCTGCTCGAACGAAATATGGAAACCTTAAGTTGTGGATCTAGTAAACAGTACATCACTTGGCTGACATGGAATACAAATCTAATTTTTTTTTGTGTATACTTGCAAGGAAGTATAACTTTCAAAGTGCAAATACAGTAAAATCTCTAATCTCCCTAGCTAGTGTACTTCAGCATGAAAGAACTCAACAGTCTCGTGCTACTTTAAGCAGTCCAGGTATAAACTGCTCTCTGCGAACAGTTTGCATAGCACTAAAAAACATGAGTGTGCCAAGGCAGGCATGGTTTGGCTAACACTGTCAGCTACGTGTGCAGGTTCACAGTATCACGATGCTTGCAAGCACACTTTGGAAACACGCATTTCCCCATAGCGATCATTTTCACATCTTTTGCCAAATGCAAATAAACAAGGCACTAAGCGTAGAAGTGTTGATATGTTTTAAATGTACAGCAAAATCATAAAAATGCCTAACTGCTTCAAATTATAAAATGAGGGCACATTCATAAACAGCTGGTAGTTAATTTGCACAAGTAGTTATTATATATTTATAAACTCGATCACTTTGTAGAAAAGCCCCATGACGAAACAGAAAAAAAGAATCCTTCTTCAAGATTAAAAAGAAAAAAAAAACACAAAAAAAACCCAAGAAACCGCAGGCTCCTATGTATAAGGGCAATAACAACGTAAACATAGATTATTTGGCATGCTTAAAATCTTTTGAATACAAATCCATGTATAAACCATCCAGCTAGATCAATAAGTGTGGCGGTCCAGCTCCCAGTCCACTGCATGGTGCAGCTGTACCCCACAGCGTGCATCGAGTACAGACACATGGCTTTAGCCCTTTGTTGGTATTCACAGAGAATCCAAACAAAGAATCCAGACAAAGGAGCGGCTTTGACCAAAACTAATGGATACAAAAAAAGCCCCAAACCCTAACCCTTGTATCAGAAGTGTTCTCCTATTTAAATGATCATGTCATAAAAATAATAACTCTCAGCATTTTCCACAGCAGGAGTCCTCTATGATATCCTTTTCATTCAGCTGGGATACAGCCTGGAACTTTGCATTTAGCAAGAGGGGGAGGGCTTGGTGATAATGACATTATTGTATCCTGTGAGCCCTTTGAGGGTAACATTTCCTACACTGGGAATCCAGATTCTAGGATTACAAGATTAGACTTACTATTCAAAGTGATGGATAAATAGAAAATAGTGCTGAAGTCATAAAGTTAAGTAGATTTACTAATCCTACAATGCTCAGTAAGACTTTTAAAGAAAAGTCTAAAATCTTTGGAGTGAAAGCAAAGGGTTGAAACCATCCTACAGCTTTCAAGATGATGCCTACTGAGCAAATCACAGATAAAAAGGCTAAAATGAGCTAAATCCCAAACAGCTGTTTTTTCAACTACATTGCTCTGGACAACTCCATTCTCCCTTCTGTGGCGATGAACTCCTTTTCCGTGGCTCCTTTATCACCTTGACATAGTCTCTCCTTCAGTTTTTCAAGTTCATACTCATGTAGGATTTTCTGCGTTAAATACTTTTCACGTTTTATTTTGGCTTTCACGTCTGCAGGGACATCAGGAATCATCCATGCTACAAAGAATTTGACGATGAATACGACATGCTGTCAAAAAACAAAATAAAGGAAGCAGGAGAAATGTAACAACTCATTACCAAATGAAACACCTATTGTTTTATCTAACACCAAATAGATCACTTCTCTTTTTGTTCAAAAACAGAATACATTTCATTTGGCTGTGCTGGAACCACACATAACAAACGAATGTGTATCTGAGATGTGCACAAAGATTAAAACACTTCCTTTTATGCAGAGACTTTAATTCCAAATTCCCTTTTCCCTTCAGAACTTGAAAGACAGTGGCTTAATACTGAGGAGCCAGTTATCCAAATTATTGATTTAGCTATTTTTAGCCATATTTTTTAGCCCATATACATCACTACAAAATGCTTTCTGGATTTTGAATACAGTCATCTCGCATACAAGACTTTAATGAAATCAGGAGGAGTGAAAGTGCTGGTCCTGATGGTTCACATCTCTTCCATCTGCATAAAGACCTTTTTTGTTCTGCTGTTTTATTTCGATCAAATCTAGCAGTCTCCTCAGCTGTTTTCACTGTGTAAGTTAACTTCCCAAAGCTAAAAGACCTAGTTATAGTAACTGTTTAGGACATGAGTATTTGGTATTACTTAGGGAAGAAACTATTTTGCTCTCTTAGCAGTTCTATTTTCTGTAACACTATTAGTAACTACCTAGAGAACCTGTAAGGTGTCCATTTTGGAAGGAAATTTTGCAGGGAACATACCTCCATAATAATTATAAAGGCTAGTTTTGCAGCAAGAATGTGCCAGAACTGCATAGTGTGTAAATAGCTCCTCTCATGACCTGGAGGATATCGATAGTCTCTGTACCTGTTGGATAGAAAGACATGTGAAGGTGAAATGTCATATTCAGCCTCAGACAGACTACAAGCTTAGTGACACTTACAGGCAAATACAGCTGTCACTTAAGGAACCTTTTCATCTTGTTTTAAATGGTCTGTTTCCTTTTGCAGGAAAAGGTTGCCTCTCAATTTGTTTCTATCTTATGTTTGCTTCAACACCCTCGTAGTCACAGCAATGGAGCAGAGGTGAGGATGTGTGAGAAGTGAAATTTTGTACATAGGTTGAAATTTTTTCAGGCAGTGATCAAATAATGTAGAACAGAGCGATGGAATGTATCACAGAGTAATGGACAAGTATTGAATAAATGTGACAGATGTTGACAGATAATGGTCTGGACAGATGCAGGGTTTAATGGAAGGACAGTCTTGAATGCTACCCTCACATGTACAAGTAAGATACAGACTCCTGGGGCTTTAAAGCTAAAAGATGACACAAACATAGTTTCTTCTTAAAGTCTTGGGGTTTTTTTTGTTTGATTTGTTTGGTTTGGGTTTTTTTTGCATTAAACCAATACTTTTATTTTACCATGGACTTCCCCGAATTTCTTTCTCAATTTTTCTAGAACCTCCAATGCTGCTTCTAGTGAGAAAGGACTTTTTTTTTTTTTTTTTTAAATGAAATGGCCCAGATCCTCAATGATACCTAGCCCAGTAACGACTGACGTTAAATACCACATCTTGTTTTCAGCTTTGGAATCTAAACCACCTCTTAATGATACTTCCTTGTCCACTTCGGCATAAATCTCCTCCATCACTCAAAAATCAAGTTTAATTAAGTAAAAAAACCAAAAAACAAACAAAAAGAGCAATGAGACTATTAAACAACAAAAAGGTGATCTGTTTTTTAGTTACTGGCATGATCTCCTACCATCTCACGCATGGCCTTGTTACCATCTCACACATGGCCTTGTTAACAGCTTAAATATTCTCTCTCACATTTTAGAATGAGAATGACATAATTTCATTTCTAGTGGACTACTTAGATCTGCCTTGACTTTTTACGCTGTATTCTAAACATACTTATTATTACACCAACCTGCATATGACTAAGTCATCTGGATTCAGTTTAGGCTTGTTTTTCTCAGGAAAATCTGCGATCTGAAACACTGACAAACTATTGTTTATGTATCCAGACATAGGCGAGTCTTCATTTTCCGAATAAGCGTAGTAGTAAACTAATCGAGGAATCATATCTGATGTGAATGCAACAATAAACGCCTGAAAAAGAAATTGGAAAAAGAAATTAAGGAAGTGGCACACAAAACTTGTGAGCAGTTTCACAAAGGGGTTTTGGTACTGTCACTCTGTGGCATAACCCAGGATCTTTTAAGCAAAAGTGAGCACGATTAGGGCACTTTACCTCAGTAAAGATGCTGACTGCAGCCTCTGCTGCAAGGACCAGCACGCAGTGAACAAATATGTGACTAGTCCTTACAAGAGGCAGCAAATCCCACATATCCCCTCAAACAAAACTGTATTCTATCTGATTTTTAAATCTTCGAATTCTGAGCACATGGAAGATTCAAAGTTGATGTAGTGCAGTAATGTAATGATGTACTTACATTAGTGACAACTGACAAGATGGCCATTCCGTTCAGGATTTCTTGCCAAACTCCTATGCTATGTGCTTTTGCAGCCACAGGTCTCCTGTACTGAGTGGTTAATTTCCAGGAGTCTACTCGAATCTCCAGGATATTATTCATCAGAGCAAGAAGGGGAGCCAGGGGAAAGGATGCCACGAAAAGAGTAATGAATCCAAACTGAATGACTGCAAGGGAGAAAAATGTCAAAATCTGCCCCTACAGAAGTACCCTCAGGGTGACAATGAAACATCGAAGTTGCCACTCACAGACAAATGGCAAACTCCTATTAGGCTGCACAAGAAGTCACCTCCAGCCCTGGCCTGAGCTAAGTGATAACGTGTGCCCCACTCAGCCCTGAGACTGTTCTGGTCTCTTAGGGCTGCCATTCAGCAGCACCCAAGGGAACTGGGCATTCAGGTCCTGCCAAATGATGCTGCCAGCAGTGCTGGATACTAATTCTTTCATGGTGCTGTGGTTCTCTCATGAATGGAATGTAACTGTAGGGGAACGGGAACGTACTCATATATCGAATTTCTGAATTACGAGAGCGGAGTAATTTAAAATCAAGTAAAATAAAAAGACTAGTTTTCCTCTCCTACAGTTTGTACAGAGCAAGCCTAAATGAAAAAGAGGAAATGCTTTTATTTGTATTCCAACCTTACCTCCACCTATTGTTATTGGTTTAGTCAAAATATTAATGCCAATTCTGTATATAATAGTTGCACTGGCGAGTCTTAACATTAGTTTAAGAATTGCAAATAGAATACACCAACGATCCCTTTAGTCACTACCAAAATGAAATGCCTCTTGGTACGGAATGTGACAGTCCTCAGTGCAGAGCCAATACTGCCACTATATTTTAAAGGTAGGAAACAGAACATCTTGTCTGGTTTAGACAGTGGATAAAAATAAATTCCCATACACCAGTCATCAGATCTTCCGTGATTTCAGCGATCAGTTCTTCATCTTAGACAAGCAACAAAATTCCTACTAGCTTAGCAGCCCTAGGACAATGCTGGAGCGTACTGGTTCAGTTCTGATTCAGGAAGAGCAAGGACATCTATTAACAGGCATGAGCTGACAACAACACTGACTTAGCATACGAATTTCACAAGATCACAGCCTTGTATGAAATATCATGAAGTGTATATGAAGTGACAATAATACAGTTGCAAAGCTCTAGGCAATAATTATTTCTGTACAAATAAAACAATACAAGAGACCACTTTTCAGTAACTTTTGTCCTCCTAATAGACAAAAACTATTTTTTTTTAGTGCCGTTTAGATTCAGTTTGGCTTCAATTTCTAGTTTTAGTTACTCAGGTTGTGTAAAGTAATTTCACACGCTGACCTGTTCATGTTACTTTTGAAAAATCCTGTCCTGTTACCCAAGCTCCCTCTGCTGGTCTGCTGGACTCTTTCGAAGCACTAATCAGTGCAAACCTGAAACTAAAGGGATTCTCTCTGATCCAGTTCGTAGATCTCATAGCTGCAGTGCCCATCTTTACAGCATATTTGGCACTCATCCCATACATACCGTTTCCACTGACATCAGCGGAGAATATGCTTGGGAACAAGAACAGAACAGACATCGAGACAGCTGGCTGCACTGAGAATAATGTTTCCCATTCAAATGAGGGAAACAAACAGCCTTTGCAATGTTTATGTGAAATTCCCTGCAGTCTAAGATGCAAAGGCAGCTTTTTTTTTTTTTTTTTTTTTAATTGGGCTGACCTATTTAATGATTTCCAGCAGTTAATCTTCTACTGTTTGACAGATGAAAGTGGTGGCATCAACCCGTAACAATTAATTGAGAAGCCATTTTTTTGGAACTGTCAGTACAAGGTGTCTTGTCCTCAATTCCAAATGTGTATTTTTAAACTTACCCATTTCTAGATATTCATAGAACAGGCCTAAGGCTCCAAATGTTTGCAGATCATGGTCTTGCTCCCAGCGACTGTATAAATTTTCTGGATTATTTCTGGCTTTCCGGCGGCCCCACCAGTTACAAATCCAGCTGTATATGGAGAAAAAAGTTAAAGATGAGAGAAGCAGATCAAGTATCCCTTTCTCTAAGCAAGCTCCTTGTTCCAGTATGCTTTTACAAGTATGGACTTCCACAAAAAGAGGCCAAAAGCCTCTACAGAATGAGTCCACTTGTCAGAATTTGTGCTTAATTTAAAGAATTTTTCTTAGCTTCTTCATATAGCAACACTTTTTACCACTCCTTCCAAGAATTCCCTCTGTCTGTAACATGGGCATCTCAGTGTAAGAGATAACTTACGGTACAATGGCTTCTTGGATATTTCCCCAGATCTGTTTGCCAGCCATGACTATTGTGAGCTGTGTCGTCAATTCTATCAAGCAGCCCGCAGGATCACACTAGCAAAGACAAATTCCGGGGTTAATGGACATAAATAATGGACATTACTCAGATAAACTATATGTTACTACTGTATAAATGAAAGAAAGAAGAGAAGAAGAGTTTTTAAAACTTCTTAGGACAATACTTAATTTTCACCTGGACTGTCAGCTAAGACACCCTCTCAGGAAAGCTGTTACAGACGGGCTTTCGATGCTCAGTGTGCTTGTTAAAACACATACGACATACCACAACGACCATCTAAAGACACAGTAATTCAGAGATGCTTCAGGCTGATCACCATGAAGCTACACAAAGATGGGGCAGCAGGATCTGGACGCAGCAGCCACCCCACAGCCCCATCAAGGTGAATCTACGGTGCTCGGTTGGCTGTCAACACCAGACCAACCCTGACCTAGCAAGCACCTGCATTTTCTATCCATATCCCTACACCAGAGGTATTTAAATACCTGCCAGTACCTGGTCTCTGCTGTTTGCTGAGAACGCTAGTTTTGAAGTTTCAACACTTTATCGAGGCCTTCTTAAGAATTTAGCAGCCAGATCAGTATTAGGAGATATTCTATCAGTAAGTGCACTGCATTACTTCATTGTGTTTTGCATGGAGTTTTTCCTCTGCTATTGACTCCCAAGCAATGCTTCACATTAAATATTGTATTTCATCTCTGTACAAACAGCATAATTAGTAATGAAACGAGAGAAAAAAGCAAAAGCTTACAGATGTGCCTCTTGCCAAATGGTTTCTCTGAAAATGTAGTGCCTCGAAAAGCTCATGAAGACACTCAAAAGCAGAAGCCAGTTCCATTTATACTAGCTTTCTTCAACCTAGCAGATCACTTTTAAGACCTACGGTGAGATCCACTGATATTTCAGGAGAACATGGGCCAAGAAAAGCTTTTTGATTTTTCACCCTTGTGACTGGGAGCCACAGATTTGCGCTGCTCGTGCTTCCCTGACTAGGAACAACAGGAAGAGGCTTTGGAAGCCCTTCCATCAGCCTCAGGATGGCCAGCTGAGATCCAGCTAATTCCAGACCAAATCTGCAGCTGGCAATTTATGACTGCCCAGACTGAAGGGGATAAAGAGCTTAAACTAGTTTATTATTATTCAATCCATCTGAATCAAGGAAGTCCTACCTCCTCATTTCGCCAGTGACTAAACATGTATGTGTAGGCACCTGGGTAACCAACAAACTTCCCTTTGAAGAAGGCCACATAGAAGCAGGATGAATAGTAGTTGACAAACTGGAACAGAAACATTTTCATAGTGAGCCTGTTCTCATACTCCATATGAGTTCTGGGAATCTCTGTGAAACCAGAAAACAGTAATTTTATTTTTCTTTATTCCCTTCAAAAGGATACAGATTCATAAATACTCATCACCCACAGTGCCCTTACATCCCAAAGGCAAAAAAAAAAAAAAAAGAAAACCACCTACAAACAGTTCAACTGTTTGTTGAATCTGTTCCAACTGTCCAACTGTCTGGGAGCTCCAGCTCACAGACATGCTACTCTTAATTTACAATGCAATGTTTTGAGTAGGCAGGCAGGTGAAATCCATTCTTGAAACATTTATAAGCTTCAATTTCCTCTTCTTTGTACTGTCCACTAGTACTTGTCCATCTCCAAATCTCACACTATGTTTTGGAGATTCAAGATGAATCTCAAACATTAACTAGCAGGGTCTTCTAAACTATGAAAATTTCACTGTTGGCAATGCATAGGATAAAGAATTTTCTCTTTCTCTGTGTAGAGAAGTATGTTACAGTATTGTTTCTTCCAATATGCTGTATGTGTGCAACTTATACTGGAATGAGCAGAAACTGGATGGGTCCTGTGCCTCTGAAAGACGAGACTCATAGTAGGGACAAGAACAGGGAAGGACACAGGCATCTCAGTGGAACTGAACGTCACCAAGCCTTTGCTTAAGGTTTTGCTGCCTTCGCAATCACATTCTCCATCATGTTTACACTTCTAAAGGTAGCAGGAAGTCCTATGCACATTATTATTAAACTGTCCTGTTAAACGGTAACATATAACCAATTCAGGCTGGGAGAAAGAGGAAGAAAATACGCCTCAAGCATTCACATCCCTCTGAATTGGTCAGGACCTGGCAGATGTGTTGAACTCACTGGTCCTATGGCAAAGTTATTTTATACATCCAAGGAAACTAACGTTTCCAAGCTTGGCATAAGTTTCCATGACAGATGGTATTTACTGGGAACCTGTAGTGTACTACAGAGGAGGCAGTACTCAGGTGAGGTAGTCTGCCTAGGATGCAGCTCATTAAAATATTTTTATTAGCAGTGAGCTGTTCAAAAGTTTACGTCAGACACTCAATGTCTAGAGCATCAGAGGTCGGTTACACCTGCGCGTCTGAAAACAAAATCTGGCCTAAAGTTTCTGAGGGATGAAAGAGTGAAAAGAGCTGGAACAGACAATCCTGTCTGTTGGCCGCAGCCAACATTCCATAGCCGGCTCCGACCGTGCCTGCGAGCCCGGGCGAAGCGCAGCTGCCACGGGCGCCAGCGGAGGGCAGCAGTCCCACAAAAGTAAACGTTCATTTTCCTTCTGTAGCTGATAACCGCAGGTAGCGCTGACACTTAAGAAATTAATCCTCCACACTTGCAAGCAGCAAAGTAACATTGCTGAGCCTTCATGCTTGTAATTCATGCCCTTCGAGAAAGAATGATTTAAAAAATGATGATTTTCTGGAGGGGGGTTTGTTTGTTTGGTTGGTTTTGTTAGTTTTTTTTTTTTGCTAGGGGCAATTTTACTTATTACTTTTTCTGCCTTTCTTTGGTCTAATTTGGCCAAGTGAGATAAGCAATATAGATCTCTGAGACAAGAGACAGTCCACCATAAATCAAAACACACCCAGTGCAACATCCCATTAAGTTTCTGCAAGAAACACCTTTCAATTCTTGATTGAGCTTGTAAGACCTCATAAAAAAAGACCCAGCTGTTTTTATGACAGCTGTACAAACTACAAATACCTAATATTTTCAGCTCTAACCCCTCCAGCTGAATATTCTGCAATTATTTCTTTCTATAAAGCACCTGCAGGTACATGCACATCTAAATCATTAAAAGCAAACAAAGACAAATATGTAAGAAGGGCTCCAGGGAAGGGTATTTCCAGAAAGCAAGCAAGCAACAGTCAAAATCTGCTACAAAAGTAATAGATCTTTCCAGGCCTGCCTGCCTGCCAGCTCCTCCAGCTCTGCAGTGAGTCTACTGTGGGTGATGCTACCAATGGCTACAGCCACCATGACACATCTTGGGCCCAACTTCTCAACCTGCTCATTCTCTGCCTCCAATCTGTATTAACTCCAAACGTGTAAATCCACCTCTAAGGGAAACAGTGCCAAGAGAAAACCCCGCAAAATAAACCGTTCTTTCCCATCCCCTAGCCTCCTACCCTTTCTCCCAAAGTAAGAGACATGATCATTTGGTCTTTTTTTTTTGTAAAGATGGCTGTGGAAGCTGTAATCTATCTTAAAAAATGTATCTTCAGGACTTCTAATTGAAATACTGCTAAATCAAGACAGTTTGATCTTGCTTTGGTGACTCTAATACAACACATGATAGTTTTAAATTACGTTCAGTACTATGATTGTCTCTGTAGATTAGTTTTAATATCAGAGAACATTATACTAAGAGGAACCTGCTTACGGTAACTATTCAAATGCAGGGAAAATGTTCAGCATGGCCATGTATACAATGGGTCATTGCTGCAAGCTACAGACTAACATCCTAGTGCTCCCACCGTGCCTGAGTTTAGAACAACTACATAGGGCGCCTCTAGATGGGCTCTACCTTTAGTGATGCCTTGAAAGTTTTGTCTTCAGTCCACTGCTTACCCATATCAGTAATCCAAATAGCTATTCTCTCATAAAAGAAATTCAGTATCATGATGACAACAAAATTCAGGCATGAGGCTGTGACTGAAGTTGCCAGCTGAGGGGTCAGTAATCCTCCGATGTGTGGTAAATCTGGAGTGTTCTCCATCAGGCTGGCGAAGGCAGCATACACCGCAAGACGATACACGATCACAGCTATCATGCTAGCTATAATCAGAGACACCTAAGGAAAGGACAGAGGTTTGAAATACACTTACAGCTCAGTAGAGCTATATGCATGCAACTTTTGAAATGAGATGTAAACCATCATGCTTTACAGTTTTTAAATTTTATCCTTTATGGGTATGAGTTCAGCAGCGCTGAAATGCAAAGTACACCAGCAAAAAACTTTGTTGTATTAGATACATTAAATCCAACAAAATTATTTTGTTAACACAAGAAAAGCAGACAATCTAATAACAATATTTAAAAAAAAAAAAGTGCAGAAGGATACAGACTTACAGAAACGGAGATGGAAGGGACAGGTTAGATTATATTGTCCACTCTGAAATTCACTCTGCAGATATTTCTACAGAGGAATATGTAGGTATTTCATTGTAGTGAATAATACTTTTTTTTTTGTCTTTACTACAGATTTTTTTCGGTATAGTCTGTTAACAGTACATAAGCCAGAGAAAAAGTTATCCTAATGCTAAAATGTCCAATCAAATTACTAATTAATGACAGATTTCCAAGGTGTTTTTTTTTTAATCTGAATTGAAGTGTATTTTACATGATGGTAGGAAATCTGCAGGTCAATAATAAAAGCACGTGTTAATATCATGATTAAAACCAGTTTGTGTTAATGTCATGATTAGTGATGATCAGCAACTCTGATATATGTTAAAATGACGATCCAAAAAGATGCTCACCCAGAACAACACTGTAGCTCCTGAGATGCAGAACCGCACAGCCTGGCTAGTTATAGGCAAATAAGGCTCCATCTCCTGAAACAGTCAAGCAAGCATAGCAGAGTTCACAAATCATAATCTTATTCTAATATCAAGCAGCACACAGAGCTCTCATCAGCTGCATGAAAATGCCCACATCCAAGGAAAATCTTTCAGAATCCCTTCTCTAAAAGGGTAGATAGGACATGATTTTGAATGTGCTGGGAGGAAAAAAAAAAGATCAGAACAGAAGTGGCCATAGCAATGCTAAAAGTAAAAGCCAGTGCTTGGAAAGAAGTTAAACCTTTGCAAAAACTAATCAGTAGCTGAAGGAAAAACACCAACTCCTCCATTAGATGAACAGGACAGAACTATCACTGTAAGGCTAGGTCAGCTGTCATACTGCTCTGAGTCCAAAACTGGACTGGATTTTAAGAAAATCTTCATGTCAAGGTTCCTTAAAATGGTTATTTACTTGGATGTGCCATGTTTTTCCACACAGCCAGAGAGTGTTTTCCTCCACTTCTTCAATTATTTTTTTTTAATTGAAGAAATGGCTACATTAATTAGTTGCCAGTCTCCGCTGCAGCACCATGCAGCTGGGCCTTACCCAAGTGAGTATCCCCATATAGCACACGAACAATTTTCCATGTTCGTGTAAAGTTCTCTCTTTCGCAACCAATTCTAATTCCTAAAATATCAGATTACATGCATTAAGAAAGGATCATTTAAGAACTAATGCCAGTGGAAGATTTAGTAAAAAATAATCTGGATTTGATAAATCTTTGGCACAAGGCATTGTAGTATGCCTACGCTCCCCTTGGACAGAGGGGCACCGATTACTGCAGGTGAGCGCAATATCAAGTATATTATCAATAACTATATGGAACCAGAAAATGCTTGTTCTGACACCAGAAGATATTGAACCTGTAAAATTTTTTAAAGGGAGTTTATTTTCTGCTGCACAAAAGCCCAGAACATGCCCAACGCACTGGGATAACGCGGTGCAGTTACGCTGAACACAAGGGCCGCAGCTGAGCTGCGCGCTTCTCCCGGACACAACGGAGCAGTAGCCGTTGCTTTACAAGTGTTGTTTCTCAATGGCCATGTTCTTCAGTCAATCGGTGTGCTGACACCAACGTGATTTTGTTTGAAGTGTAATGTGCTGTTCTCTCAGGAGAGAGATACTGCCTGTATCTGCCCAAGTATACTTACTAAACACAATTGTCAATACTGTACGCTCAAGTCACGACGAGTTGTTTGATGATGGTAACAGTTAAAGGCTCTATTAACAGAACTATAAAAAAACAGCTGAAGATAAGACACAAGCACAGATATCTGTGGCTTTACATAGGCTCCTAACATTTTATACCTATTATGTATTAATAAATATGTATATTCTATACTATGAACAACTGTTTCACACATTCTAGGCTATTCAACAAGTTTTCTAATTTAGAACAAAACGTAGACAACAATGTGCAATGATAGAGCCTAAGTTTAAACAGAATGCTTCATTATTGATGTAAATTAAGATTCTACTTTAATCAGCAAACCCAGATTTTAGCTATGATCTAGCTAAATAGTTTAGCACTGTGACCAAATGACATGTTAATTAAAGCCTCAAGATGGGCAATTTCTGTTTCAGTGCACCTAGAAGTTTGAATTGCAGCCAGGAATAATGAGGATACAATTTTCTGAGCAAAGCAAAGCCAGCCTTGGGATGCGAGAAACTCAGTGACCTGTATCCATATTATCTTCACAGTTGGCAGAATTAACTCATTTGAAACCCCTGTACCTTCAGCTGTTTAGTGTTGCACATTATCTAATGAAAGGAAATCACACTACGGCGTGGCTAACCCGTATGGTTGGCTGTAACTGGGTATTGATAGGGATCACTGCTAATCCTTGCTGCACGAAAGCTTTTAAAGTCCACCAAGGAAATAAATTGATGTGTCATAAAATAAAGGATTGTAGTGTCACTGAATTTTTATGATAATTGTTAATGCATACTTAGAAAGCACAGAACAGTGCAGCATCTCACTCTGAGACAACGAAAGTATATTACGGTCCAACTTTTGATTCCAAAGTCAAGTCCAAATAAACCATCCTATGTAAGAGATTGGCATGAATTTACAGAGGGAACAACTTCTCCCTAGGATGGTTACACAAACGCACCTCATAAGCCACCTTTGGCTGTCATCTGCTGCGGCTGAACCAACTTGCCAGTCAAGGGCTTTTGGCCCACGCTGTACATAACCACTGCCTACTCGTCAGCCCATCACCTCCCTCTGCTCACACCATTGTTCTCTGCTGCAGCCCTTACTTCAGAGCACACAAGGGCTGTGAACCACCTGTGTGTGACCTCCCCCTGCTCTCTCCCTCAACGGCAGCAGAACCACAGTGGTTCAGCTGGTTTTGGTCATTTGCAGCCACGTAAGAAATCGAGATTTGGAGCCTGGGCATACACAGGGATGCAAACTAGAAAATAACATGCAACAGGCAGGCATCTGTTTTTAATTACCTGAACTAGCTAATCCAAAATTGATTTACCTGAAACTGTTTTCTTGAGCATGCAGAAATCAATACCTAAGGCAGAGCTACATTCAAAATCTCAGTGGGTGGTTATCAAAGATCTCTTTGTGACTTCAGTGTACAAGTTACAGGTGTAAGAAAAACAACATTAACACTGCATGCACAGAAGGGGATAGAGAGACAGAAAAACTGCCCTTCATGGGAAATGAAACTAGTGTATATATTTTCTAATAATTAAGGATACAAGCCCTGAAAGACAAGGCTACTGTTTATACAACAATGATGCTTCCCATGTTCTGGCTAAGCTTCTCTTTCTTTTATGAAGACTGTGTTATCTAAGCATACTCATGACTAGTGAAAATAAGTTATTTATAGACAATTTTAAGAAGAGGAAGGATGATTTAAAAATACGTCAGATTAAGGTGGTATATGTTGTACTGAAATGCAACCATTTGATCTTTAAAGTTGTCGAATAACTCCTACCTATCATAAATTTAAATGAAGACAATTAACGTCTAGTAGATATTTACACAGAGCATTTAACAGAGTTTAACAGTGTGGTTAATTGTATCCCAATTAGATTTCAGACAAAGGGCTTCAGCAACCTTCATCTCTCTAGCATTCCCCAAACGAAGTGGTGGTGTATCAGAAGCAAAACCACAGGTAGTCCCACTTAGGCATCTTTAGATGAAGACAACTGCTCCCTCGTATGTTGTGCAGGGATTGTGTTTTTATAGGAATGAACATTTCAGAGACTGCTGCCTTGAAACGTGAAGGACACTGTAAAGATGGTGTTAGCCAAGTGAAAGCTATAAACTTTGCCTTGGTATTCCTGATTTAATAAATTAGTTTCCTATGGAAATTAAAATTAATACAGGATAATTAATGGAAGTTAACACACACAACTCCACAGGCAAAAACCTCCACATTCTCATTTAATCTGTGTCAAAACCCTAGATAACAAAAGACATCTGCTGGAAGAGAGCCGTGGTCCAAGAGATACGGCATGTCCGTCACGTGCAAGAGGAGGCTGCAGTGCTGAGCGCACTCGGTTACTGCCACCTTCGGAGTGGAAAGCAGGATGGCCGCACCGCGACGGCCAGTGCCAGGCTGAACAGACCCCTGAACGCAGGGCTGTCGGCTCCAGAACTTCTGATGCTAACACAGCGACACTGCTTTCGGCAGTGGGAGTGTTTATCTCTGATACTAGTCAGTCAGAGCACAAACCTCAGCACTCGTCA